TACAGCTCTTTTTCAGTTTCCACCACCAGCTTCAGCTAGTTACTCAGCTTAGACTTAGTCACCCGCATGTAACTTTATCCCGTTTTAATTTTTCAACCAGTAATAACCCATTGCGTATTAATTTTCACCAGAAACGTTGTTTGAATAATTTTACCGGATCTGCGCATTAACGTTGGTAGATTTGTGTAAATATATAAAACATATAAATTAATTAAAGCAGGAATGGTTTTAAATGAAATTCTAATATTTGTTGGTTATAGTTTTAAAATTTTCAATTAGTCATTTGTGATTTTTTTTCTCAGAAACTAGTCATTATTATTTGGGCTTGTCATAACTTAGTCTCTATTTTAATTAAACATTACAACTATATTTTCCCACATGAAAAAACTAACTTTTTTTTTGTTTAGACCCAAATTCAAATCAATATAATGAATTATAGCAATTAGTTATATAAAAAATATTAGTTCATTATCACGTAAAAATAAAAGTGTTAATCAAGATTTTAAACATGGAAATGTCACAATCTCAATTTTTATGAAAATCTAGACAAAATTTCGATATCGGTGAATATTGTTGAAAATGTTATAGAAACAAAAATATTCACAAATAAATATTTGAATTAAGTATAACAAATAAACATTTCACTTTTTTTTAGCTAGAATTTATTAATATTAATATGTCAATATTAGTGATATTTTGTTGATATATATTTTAATATTTTGTCAATTTTTTGTGATGCTATGAAAATGTCGATTCATCCATTATATCGATGATATCGAATCTATAGATACATGGAAGTGTCAACATTGTCAATAAACATTTAATAACCCTAGTGCTAATAGGGATAGTTGGGATAGTTGGAGGCTTCAAGGAATATCTTCGAGGTCTTGGGTTCAAGCTACAAGTTAAGAACGCAGCTTCACCAAGTAATAATCCCTTGTGTATGTACGGATATTACAGTGAGCATACTTCAGTATACGGGCAAAAAATTATTTTGAAAACAAATCTTGTTGTGAGAAAAGCAGTAGAGTTGGTCTATGGGAGCAGGAAGAAGCAAAAGTTGAAAGACAGGTTATGAATTATTAATTAGTTAAAAAAGATGGTATGATCAAGTTTCCATAACGCATGAATAATAATATTCGAGATGCAAATTAAAGATTGAAACCCTCAAACACAAACCCTCGTCTTATTGGTAACAGCGGATCCTCTACATTTTTATACTAAAAGTTCTCGTGATTTTACTTTTGATCTCACCCAAAAGACTACATATCAGTGGAGATATTGTCTGACACTTTTTATATATCTATGATTTTCCCCTTATCTAGTTGATGTGAGATTTTTGTACGCATTTCCAACCCTCTATTTTATCTCTTCTTTCTCATTAATTGGTTTTATATAACAATATTATATGATACTGATATGATTTGTGTGTGTGTGTGGAATTATATATATTGCATAGAGATCGATGTTTAAATAAATTTGTTGATGGGCGCGGGCGGTGTGGGGTTTTCCAGAGGAGAAAAAGGCAGCAGCTAAGGGCGCAGGGAGACAAGCATTGTACATGGTGGTGGTGGGTACAACCCCACGCACCCATTACTTTATCATCACATCACCCTCTTTAATTTCCCTTTTTCCCTGACAAGTAAAAATACAACTATTCTTCATTCATTACCCTTTTGATTTTTTTTTCTCTGACCATCGAAGATCGAGGAGAGGAGGCATCGGAGATACAAACATATTAAATCCCACATCGACTAGAAGAAAACAAGATTCATGGTATATAAATACACATAAAAATTCATAACATATCGGGTGAAACCCTAGTGGATTGCCTCGCATGAGATTGGGATGCGAACATATAGTTTCGCATCATTAGAGAGGGAAAGAAGATCTTTATCATTTATTCAAAAGATAGGCGAGAAACATACAACAAAATGGGTCAAAATAAAAATAGTTCAAAGAGATGACATAGATATCATGATTACAAAAGAAAGTCAAATGAGTTTATAAAGCATAAGATGTACAATCATTATCGATATAATATCATTAAAGAAATATGGAAAGGCACGTTGTCGTAACATGAGATTTAGTTTTATTATATATAAGAGTTATGGGATATAATACAAAAGCAAAACCATACAAGTTTAATTGACTATGACTAAGTTTGTTGTCTTAACCATTAACTGTGCTGGTTTTTCAGTTTTCTGATGTTGAGAATATGGCCTCATACATGTATGTGTTAAAAGAGGGTTTGAGGGGACAGATAATGTTGATGTAAATGAAAGAGAGACAAATAGCTTCGTGCTTCACAAAGGTGAATTATAAGAAGAGGGTTTGGGTTTCAAAATTTTGATCCACTCAAACTCCAAAATACAATAACTCTCCTCCACGTTGGGTGTGGTCGTGCACGTGCCTCTGTCTCTGTCTCTGATCTCAAACTCATGAAACCCACATGTCCCCATTTCCAATTCTCATACCAAATTAAACCTTTTTTTTTTGTTTTTTTGCTCAACTTTGACTCTTCTTTATTTTATTATTATTAATCTTTGTTTTTTTTACCAGTACTTCAGACAGTGAAAGCCCCTCAAATCCTTCAACAATTTTTTTTTACACTGCCCCTTCTGCCTTGAAACGACAAAACATGTAAGAGAATATGTATCTATATATATATATATATCTACTATCTCAAACTCTTAACATAGTCGCCCTTAGCTTTTTTCCTTGGGTAAAAGTAAAATTATGTTTTATATTGCTTTTTACCCTACTTCGATCTCCAAAAGCATTACGTTTTTATAAAGAAGTAATTTGAATTTTGAATATTTTAACCTCATTCTTTATATCTTAATCGTTGAACTAAAATATTATTGTTACCAGCTGTGTGTTAATTTGCTTATTGTATATAACTTATATCTACCTAAATAGGAGTAGAAGTCTGAATCGTTAAAATTATCACTAAATTTAAAAGGGTGAATTAATAGGTAACCGTAAATTTAATTTTTTTTTTATTGATATCTTTGCACCAATTGGTCCAACCTAAATATTTTAAGATTTTAATTTGGCTAATAACCTAAAGTAAAGTTATTTTAATGGGTCTATTTTACAACTTTATTAACAATTAGGTTTTAGTTCAAAAGATTTCTTAATGTGGCCCCCTAATTGAAACTTTTTTGAAAAAGGTGATTGATTTCGTGATCTGTAAGAATCAAATCATGAGTCGCAATTGTACTTTAAATTTGAAATAGAGTAATTAGTGAAAAGTATAGAACACCTTATTTTAGGTCCAATAGAGGGTGAACCGACTAGAATCTCCAGTCTTTTGAGAAATAAGTGAACATCTAATTTCTTAGTCATAGAGTTGTCGAGAAAATAATAAGAAAATGTAATTTTACTATTTGATCCGAACCGACCTTATTAAAAATAATATTTTTCTAGTGGGACGATAGTTCTAAAAGGATAGATTACCTATCTTTTCTTTAATCTTAGTACGATATTAGGAGATAATTCTTCAGGTTAAAATAAGAACAACATCCCCAACATTCAAACCCCCTTTTTACCATTCACAATCACTTATTTCGGTTGCATATTATAAGAAATTCGAATAAAGTATTTCAAATACAATTCTTATATATCAGGAAGTACCGCTTATGGAACCTCGATAGAGATATCCACTGGCTTATTAATTAAATGACAATTGGCACAAACAATATATAGTCAGTTGCTTCTTGTGTATTTTCATAATCTCGTTGTGAAAAAAAAAGGATAATATATAAATAAATAAATAATGCATTGACAATTCAGCTAATACTTATGTTAACATGGTAGAACATATCGTTGTAAAAAAAAAAAGAAGCTATAATAATAATGCATTGACCGATTCAACTCATACTCTTGTCAACATGTAGTACATATCTTTGATTTACACCGTTCATTAGACGACATCAAAAAATAAATAAAGAAATAACTTAGTGACTTTTTCTTTATTCTTCTAATTCAACTATTTATGGGGTGAGGGGTTCGATCTTCAAATTTTTATCCATCTAACTATGTTTAGGTGCCAGGAACATGCAAGTTTTAAATGCACCCACTAAACCAATTATCTTGAAATGTATGAATTAAGAACTTGCAATTATAAAGTCAGACTATTGCCAGACAGAGAGAATTTGGGTTTTTGCTTCTCTCACTGGGCCTTGTGTTTGACCATTAAATGTGAGACTGGGCTTTTCAAATTGGGCCGCCTATACAAGTTGGATTCCCGTAAGCCCATTGTGTGGATGGCAGAAGCCCAGATTGCTTTTACTCAAAGAATCCAATTACAGAAAAAAAAAACAAAGAATCAAATTATTATTTGCTCTCAGATTTTAGAAGTGAACCTAATTACCATTACTCAAAATAATCAAATAAATTTCTAATTCTTTTTCCTACTCATCCAAAAACCATAATTGTTTAAAAAAAAAATTTTAATACAACATCGAAAAGTGAGGATTTGAACTCGGGATTTTTTAGTTGAAGATGAATAATACATTAACCAATTAAACCTAAGCTATGTTCAATATTTCTTTTAAGAAGCCAAAACCAGTATAATTCAGCGTTAATTGATATATCTCCAAGAAGATGTGAGTTCGATTTCCACGTGTAAGAAAAAAAAAGATTTTACTTATTCCAATTCTGGCATAATTTAACCAAAAGCCAAATATAAAACATCAGCTCATTAAAATATTGAAGTAAAATTAAATTAATTCAGCCAAACATAACCCATTAGGAGATTGAAGTGTAATTAAATTAGAATATCTAAAATTACAAAATTGAAATTTTAGAAAATATAATCGATGAAAACGGAAGAAAATTATAAAAATCATAGAGTAAAGAGGAAGAAAA